TATGATTAAAAGTAGATCTAATATAATGATAGTACTACTAGTAATAATAGCACAATATTGATAGTAATAATAATGATAATAATAACAATGATAATGATGATGATAATAACAATGATAATGATGATAATAACAATAATAATGATAATGATAATGATGATAATAATGATAATGATAATAATAATTACAATAACAATAATAATGTAAATAATAATGATAACTACAACAGTATTATAATATATTTATTAACATTATTGTTTTTAATGATATTAATAATGATTATGTTAACAGCAAAAACAACGATAATAATGATAAGAAATCACTGTAACTATAAGAAAGAATTGATAATGAAGGAACAAAAGTAAGAACCAAGAAAACTGAATAGCAATTAAAGCAATTAACGACCTTGGTAATGACAACAGTAATCATGAAAACAATTGCAATAATGATTGTTAGTTCTGCAAATCATATGAGCATGTGAACATTAGATTATAAAAATAATAGACAGGCAATTATTCCAAAAATGACTCCTAGCTGTCACTCTCTCGAAAAAGGTAACTGTCATCATAAATAAACTAAAAAAAATGGAGAAATAACAATAATAATGATAATGATGACAATATTAATGATGACTAGTACAACAACAGTAATGATAATGATGATTATAGTAATAATAGGAATAATGGTGATAATAATGATAATGAGAATAATAATAATCGTTATGATTGTCATTATTATTATAGTTGTGATGGTTATGATAATAAAAACAAAATCATACAATAATAATGTTGTCCTCAATAATAATGCTAATGAATAAACCAGAATGAAAATATAAAAGACAAAATACAGATTTTTAAAATGAATAAATGATATAAAGACAGCGAAGACAAGACCACACGACCCGCGAGTCTCAACAAATCGCGAACGAAGAATAAGAAGAAAAAAATAAATAATAACGAGAAAAGAGAACCACACTATCCTCGCAGTTCCATGACTGGGACTGACTCGTGAAGCCTTCGGGAAACCCCACCGGGGATTCCACTTGTATGGAAGCACACTTAGCCCTGAGAGAGAGAGAGAGAGAGAGAGAGGAGAGAGAGAGAGAGAGAGAGAGAGAGAGAGAGAGAGAGAGAGAGAGAGAGAGAGAGAGAGAGAGAGAGAGAGAGAGAGAGAGAGAGAGAGAGAGAGAGAGAGAGAGAGAGAGAGAGAGAGAGAGAGAGAGAGAGAGAGAGGCAGAGGGAGAGGGAGAGAGAGAGAGAGAGAGAGGGGGGGGGGGGATCGCTAGCGCGAACAAGGATACGCTGCGTGAGATTCGTAAACATTGCTGTGCCAGTTCAGGACACGAAATCAACTGCGGCGATTTTGGTGGAATTATGTCCTGGTCTCTCTCTCTCTCTCTCTCTCTCTCTCTCTCTCTCTCTCTCTCTCTCTCTCTCTCCTCTCTCTCTCTCTCTCTCCTCTCTCTCTCGTCTCTCTCGTTCCTCCTCTTCTCTCTCTCCTCTCTCTCTCTCTCTCTCTCTCTCTCTCTCTCTCTTTTCCTTCTGTCTCTGCTTCTCTCCTCTCTCTCCTCTCTCTTCTCTCTCTCTCTCTCTTCTCTCTTCTCTCTCTCTTCTCTCTCTCATCTCTCTCTCGCGTCTCTCCTCTCTCTCTCTCTCTCTCTCCCTCTTCTCTCTCTCACTCTCTCTCTCTCTCTCTCTCTCTCTCTCTCTCATTCTCTCACCGCCAAGTTAACTTGGTGGTGAGAGTGGACGTTGAGGATAAAAGGAGGAAAATAAAGTAAAAAAAAAAAAGAAAGAAAGAAAAGAAAGACGACAAAAGAGAGAAAGAAATGATCAGTTAAAAAGTGAAAATAGAGTCAAACAGTAAAGCAAAATGATCGATTACAGTGAAGTCAAGCATTAAAAGTAATAAGGATCAAACATTAATGATAAAAGTTTTATTGTCATTTGTAAGGATATATCTTTAATGAAACTTACGCACATAAAAACTTCCTCAACACCAAAGTTTATTGAAGAATTAGTTACTATCGTTATCATTATCACAATTATTATCATTTGAAAGTGGAAAAGAAAAAAAACTTTCCTTTAACTTTCCCTCGAAATTAGTTAACCTTTTCCTTAATTTCTCCATAACGAGTCCCAGCCATCGAAGGCGGAACAGCTAATCAAGGAGCTTGCGCATTAACATCATTACCATAGAGATAATTAAGACGCCGATTAATTACAGTAATGGTATTGATTATCGCAAAGCCAACTACGATAATGGGTTGTTGTTCCCTGACTGTCACAGCAGCGAGAAACTCCAGTGAAGTTGATGATGAAAATAACAGCAGATTAGTTAAGAGCAGTTCTTGGCTTTTCACGCCCACGCCCACGCCCCCGCTATCGATCTGTCCTTCCCTCCACGACGCCCTTGCATCTATGAATAAAATTCTCTCCCTGATTCTAGAGGAAATTATTGATAATGGTCTTATTTGACTCGCGCTCTCGTTAACAATAGCAAA